CAAGTTTTATCCAAATAGCTTTAAAATTAGGGAGAAAGGGGCCCGGAAGCTCCTCCACTTGCACAATTACATAATGAAAAAGTAATGAAAATTTTGTTATATCATTATAGTTATGATACAAGCCTCTTACGATATTTTAGAAAAACTTCAGAAATGATTCTCTGCCTTTCTGTATTAATAGATTCAACCACCTAAGGCTTGAAAATATTTTTAAAAGGACAAAAATCAAAGTAAACCTTGATTTGGTTATTTTATATAAGGGATTTTACTACATCATTGTATACAATGGAACTTCAGAATCCATAGATTTTGCGACTCACAGGGGGATCTGGGACCAAATCCAGCATATACCAAGGGCCCACTGTAGAATAACACTGACAGCATCAGGCCCGTAGCCAGGATTTCAATTTGGGGGGGGGGGGAGTTTTTTTCAGGGGGGGTTTGGGGGGGGCTGAGTTTGGGGGGGGCTGGGTCTGAGTGAAAGAGGGTCTACCCTAGCAAACCTTTTGTATCATTACCCCAATACCCCCGTGCATATGGGATATATTGAGTATGGTGATCAGATCATGATATGAATAAACATAACAGTTTAAATAATGCACCAATAAGGCCTTTTCGCGAACCACCATGAGAATTTCGGGGGGGGGGTTGAAGCCCCTTAACCCCCAGCTACATGCCTGGACAGCATCATCAAAAGGGACAAAATAGACTTTTTGGAACAATGTAAAGAGGTTTGGACCTATATTCATGTTACAATGTACAGGTGTCTATTACAGAATGGTAGCTAGTGGACTGACGGGTTCACTACAACCTCAATGTACAATGGACATCAATGGGCTTTGGGACCCTCCTGATGCACATGTGGACACTGACAGCAAACATGCTGAATTTGCACTATATGTTTCTGATGTGTATCAGAAGTAGTTGATATGCATTGCATGAGAAGTTCCCAACATGCGTCAGATGTCTATGATGCACATTAGGAGCAACTTATATTTATCAGAAGAATCTAGTGTGCGTTGGTATACTCTTTCTGGTGCCCTGATATACATCTTTGCAATTCACTAACATTGCATTTCTGCAATGCAGACTGTAATAATAAGACTGTGGTCCATGTATCTTCATTGGAAGAACTACCCTAATGCCACCCATTTCATCATAGAGAAATGCACAAGGAAGGCATACATGCTGTGATTCAATAAGACAGAGAAATGATATGTTTTTTAACCTAAACAGCTACAATAAAAAGTCTATTTCAATGTAACAACAACGTTTCCTTTCAATCTAATTTATAATATGTTTGCAAAAAGCAAATTGCAAACTTAGCTAAAATAACAAGCCATATTGATATGTAGCATGTATGTGGCACAGTTTTCTTTCCCGTATCTCTCCCATAATGAAATTATTGCTTAATTGCATTGGATTGATTTTATTGTCCTAAGTTGCGTAAGGCACCAAGGACAGGGCTGATGGTCTGATCTCTATCACTTTCGACAGTCACTTTAAAACACTCTTAACTCAGCTTGGAAAGCCAGATGTAGTTCACTTACAACTCAATTAGATGCCTTAGCTAGTCTAAATGCAAAAATAGGTTATTATTTACAATTAATGGGGTAAAACATACATGCACACCACTAAGATTACATTATTTGGCACAAATTTATAAGCATACAGTCACAACCACACACACAAACAGAGTTTGGAAAGTTAATTTTCAAGAGCACAGCTGCCAGAATCCACTTGCCAGGCTCTGCACAAAAAGTATGTTCATCATACTGTTTGAAAAATCAGATAAGGAAAATTAATTATACCTCTTTAGATGTGCACTTTAAATGGGTCACAATCTGCCTTCAGCTATTTTTGTGACATTGAACTGACTACACTGGAGCTATCATATTTTCACTTCTTTGCCTGGGTGAGGTCAGTCTCCCCTTGTGTTACAATTCCTGCTATTTAAACTATTCCTTTAGCAGCAAGGGTGTATGGAATGCAGTGTAGATTATGGGAACATTTTGTCTTATGCACAATGAATTTTAATTCTTTTACTGCGAATATAATTATCATTTATTACTTTCACGCTCAGAGAACCAAAGAATTGGAGCAAGTACAGCTTAAACAAAACAATACGAATGTCATACTAATAAAATATAAACAGAAAATACGAATGTAAAGTAGATCACATAAGATTTAAAAGTCTAGTTACAGCTTGCCATTCCAGGAATCATATATTCCTTTTTAAAACTTTGGTTTTTCAGATAGTGTACAGACATGTGTAGTCGTGTCAAGATTAAACCGCCTTGAGTCGCCTTCGGGCTGAGAGAGGTGGTATATAAATACAGCAAGTAAATAAATAATAAATAAGATTATGTTTCTCTCTGATTTCATGGCAAAAACATACCAAGTAAATAGAAATTTATAAACTAGAGCAGACATGGGCAAACTTTGGCCTTCCAGGTGTTTTGGACTACAACTCCCACAATTCCAGACAGCCTACCGGCTGAACTAGAGATAATCATGGATTCTGGATTCAGCCACTGATCTTCTGTTTGCTTTGCATCTTGAGGAACTGCTCCACAATTTAAATTGTGTTCAGTGCAACATTTCCACTTTGTCTATTACTCTTGCAGAAATTTGCTAGTTTCTATTGAGTGTGTTGACAAGCTAGCTTTCTTTATAATCTCTTCTTTTAATAGGATATATTTTCCTGAACAACAGCTATATCTTGATTAGTCTGCCATCTAATGAATGAAGATGTTATCAAAAGTTGCAAATATATTTAGATTGTTTAGTCATTGATTTTCATGTGACCTTATCACACAGGGGAGGCCCCCCCCCCATGCCATTTTGCCAGCAAGAGTGGTGAAATGGCAGGCATGATGGGCCTCCATCATCCTGCATGTTGCTCCGGTGCAGTGACACTTCCCCCACTACATGAGGAAAACATGTGTTGTGCTGGCTGCAATGAAGCCAGCACAACACAGGCAGGCTCCCATGTTTGGAGGGAAGCGTCATACAATACTTCCACTTTAGTTGTGGATGGGGCCTCCACCAGAAGTCCAGAGACATCATGGGATGGGCAGCATGCCCATCTGTCACTGGACTGGTGGGGAAGCATTCTAGGATGCTTCCCAAGCCCTATGTAATGAGGTCATTAAAATGATTCCACAGGCTACAGACTGATTTAAAATAACTTAAATTAATTACCCTATTTTCTCAAATCTAATGCTCACCTTTTTTGGTTAAATGACATCAAAATTAGAATGTACATTAGATTCACACAATATGGTAATCTTCGTGTTGAACTAAAGCAAAAAGGGAAGCTGCTTCAGAAGCACCTGGAGCTCCTGTTTGAGGTATGTCATCTCTAATTAAATTGCCTTGGTTCAATGCTATGCCATCCTGGGATTTGTAGTTTGGTAAGCCACCAGCATTCTTTGGTGGAGAAGGTCCAAGAGCTTCCAATGATTCCATAGCATTGAACCAAGGCCATTCAAGTGGATTCATTCTACAGTATAGATGCATCCCAAGGTTTCCTTTTTTCTTTGCTGGAAGCTTTGGTCTTCTAATACTTTTGTTTCTAAAGAAAGAATCCCAAGCAGGCAGCAAATGCAATGCACATCCTTTTTGGCCAAATTACAAAAGGGTGCACTTTTTACATTCAACAGCAAATACTTTTTTGTTTGTTTTAGGGTTGTATTTGATGGTACATTAGACTCGAGTAAATATGGGTAATATTTTTGAAAAACCTTAAGGTGCATATACTCCTTAACATCTATGGCTAGGTTAAGCTATCAAGGCTTTGTAGTCTTTGAGGTCTGTTGCACATATATAATCACACTCACTGTTATATAGGTTAGGAAATGAGATTTATTAACAGTAGCATGCCCCGTGCTTTTTGTCTATGAGTGAAGAAATTTCCATCTAAAATTCCCAAAACAGACTCCACCAATGTATTTGTATTCTTTTCTCTGATTAATATATAATTGGACACAATTATGAGTGGCCCAGAATATTTTGCTACCAGAGGCAAAGGACAAGATCATTTTCAACTCTATTGTGAACTAAAAATGTCTGAATTGGCAGAGGAAGCTTCCACTGGCAATGAGCCAATGCCCTCCTGTGCACCTACTATCTTAGATTGCAACATCACTCTGGGTAATAAGAGCTGACCAAATCCATATGTTTAAAACCAGTAATAGATTCCAGTGGAAAGTAAAGCATATCAAGCCATACACAACCTCATCACACTGACTTCTTGCTCCATCCTTTCAAGATGGAGTTAGGACAGAGATCACTGAAGCCCTTTACATGTTGCTAGGCAGCAACACTTTCTCCTATATGTTGAGTAAAGTGGGGTGTGGGGCAATAGTTTCCCACACTGCCCCACAGATTCATCATGCTGCTAGGTGAATCCCCCCGCTGTCTCCCGCATTTTGAACTTCAATGTGATGAGGTCCTTAATTGCCAGCTTTAGCAGTATTTTCACAGCTTCCCCCAAAGTGTGCAACAGTATGCTGTCTTCCATGGCCAGATCATATAAATCTATGATTATTGAACAGGTGCTATGCTGAGAATCTGCTTCTGCTCTTTGGTCAAAACAACCTGTATCTTTGAGGTACACTAATATGCCACTTGATTGTCTCCCTGTAGTATTTCTTTTTCTCTGATTTGCCCCACTTCATTCCAAATCCTGGCTTGTCCCTGGGCAAATAGGCTACATATTTTTGGCACAATGCCTGCTTTCATAACTTTTTCAACACAGATTTGTGTTGTCATTATCAGATGACAAGTATCACAATTTTACTTTGCAGGGACACTAGAACTGTCAGGTCTCTTCTACAAAGTCATTTGGAAAAATAGGTGTCTTGAGAAAAAGGGACTGTGTTTTACTTTGTTGCAAAGCACAAGAATTCTGAAATGAGTACTTATTTTCAAATATGGGATTGAATTTATTTGTGAATATACTTGCTAAGAATATATTTCTTCCACTTGTTTTACAGATGGAGGGAAGAATACTGTCTCTTACTGAATTCAAGCTCATGTTCTCCACTGATGTTGTAAAAGCAGCCTTTGGGTATGTGTATTTAAGTACTGGGATCTCATATCAAAGGAACAGAGAGACCTCTTGGGATTGAGAGCCTATAAATCCTGCTTTCCCCTCTCTATAGGTAGTACAATGATCTGTTTGTTTATCAGAACTCGAGTTACCAGAGGTTTTTCCTCTCCACATGTTTCCTTATTCCCACAATTTCAGACAGCATTTTGAAGGAGCTAGAAATTGACAATCTTGTAACCTCCTCCTCTGTCCTGAACCTCACATCCTGCTGCTTCTAGTTCTGTGTTCAGAGACAGAAATAGTTATCTTCTCCAGACTTGATTTGTGCAAAGAATTGAAGAAGAGTTCTGTGATAGTGTAGACTGCTAAAAAGACAAATAAATGAGCCCTACAACATAGCAGATCTGAACCCTTCCTAGAAGCCAAGATGTATAAACTCAGGCTGTTGTACTTTGGCCATATCTTCAGACGAGATGACTCACTAGCAGAAGCAGACTGATCAGGGTGTCAGCTTGCCTGGTGGCAAGTGAGCCCTTTTAAACATGAGACATGTTACAAAAGTAAAGCTCTTTTAGCAGCTTGAAAATATAACAGAAATTCCAATATTATTACTGCATACAAATAAACATAATGTTGTTTTTTAAATTTTAATTAAAAATCCTTTTTTGAGGATACTTTATATTTAAGAATATAATAAATAATTTTGAAATAATAATTCTGATTCTGGTTATGTGATGCCAATGCATCTATCATATAGGCTTAGGTCTTTACTATTTCTTAAAAATAATTGATAGCCTTATATATGTGTGTGGGCCCCTTTGTCTCCTGGCAATCAATATTTTTAAGCCTAGTCTACGCAGTGGGTTAAAGCACTGAGCTGCTGAGCTTGTTGATTGAAAGGTCGCAGGTTCGATTCCGGGGAGCGGCGTGAGCTTCCGCTGTCAGCCCTAGCTTCTGCCGGTCACATGACCTTGGAGGTGTCTACGGACAACGCTGGCTCTTCGGCTTAGAAATGGAGATGAGCACCACACCCCAGAGTCAGACATGACTGGACTTAATGTCAGGGGACTACCTTTACTATTACCTTACTAGAAAAGATGATAATGCTGGGAGAATTGGAGAGTAGTAAGAAAGGAAGACTGCATTCCAGATTCATAGACTCAATCAGGAAAGTGATAGCTCTGAGTCTCTAAAACCAGGGTTGTTGAGTATTGAGTCTCTCATTGATAGAGTCACTGTAAGTCAAAATTGACTTGAAGGCAGATAACAACAACACATTTCTGTAAATAGAACATAATCCAATTAGCTATTCATTTATTACCCACCTTCACTGCAAAGACATGAATGATCTCCTTAGAGATATATTACCAAAGTTCAAGAAGATCAAAAGATACTCAAGTAACCCTCTGTTCTATACATGATGACTTTTATTAAATTACACACATAAGTAAATAGCTTGGCAATACCTTATGGGAATTGCCACCATTAAGAAATGCCCAGAGATGAACAATCAAATCTAAGATCTCACAGCTCTTTCATCTCTTTCAGCTCTTTTCACCACCTTTGGTTATCCATAGAATTGTAGAAACCAGTTGCATTGCAGTACATGAGGACTCAGGCCCTTGTCCTGTCAGATTTGTCAAAACAATTTGTCATAATAAGCTCATGTTCTTGTTTTGGGGTTACATGAAATTAGACCAATGTTTGTAGCTTTCCAGAATGCCACCAGTAGTTTCTTTAAAATTATTTCAGCTGACTAATATTGGTAGGGGAAAAAAAATAGTCTTGTATCTTCTCATTATAGCCTATACATTCATATTCATATTTAGAATGCCCGAGTCAGATACCATAGAACTCGTTTGAAATGAAAATTTGCCTCATGGAAGACTTTTTGCAATTACTGCTCACAGTATACCATTCCCAAGAACATTCCATCCAATAAATTATTTACCTGAATATTTTCAGAAAGTGAACATGAAAGGGATGTGTACATTTTCAAAGCAAATCTGTTTCAAAATAAGGATGAGCAGCAATATTTTTTCATGTATTTGCTTTGCTATAATCTTTATGCAAACAGTTTTATCTTCTTATTAAGACATCCTATTGGGAACAGTTGTTCTTATATTTTAATAATGCACTGGGCACAACTGTGTTCTCTCATACATTGATATTAAACTGGGAGCCCTTTTTCTGAAATTGCTGATCATGGCGATAATGATAATTGTGTTAAAATGTAAATTTACACCCTCTCTTTTCTTCAGCCATCCCAATCCAGCTTCTACACATAGGTCTATGTGTACTTGTGTGAAATAAAATGGAAGAGACCTACTTTATGTGTAGAAGGGCAGAAGTGAAACGAATAAGAAATCTGAATGACCATCCTGTCTCTAACAACTATCTATTTTTAATCCCTTTTAATCATAGGAGAGTGAATGAAAAATTGCCATGAATCTGTCCATGTTGTAGTAGTTTGATATCACTTTAACCACCATGACTCCAACCTATGGAATCTTGGCTTGTAGTCTGCCTAGGTTTTTGGAGTTCACTGTTAAAGTGCACCTGTCTGATCTTCAAAGAATGTTAAGTATTTCAGCTAACTGCAAATCCCAGCTTACTGGAGAATACAGGTGGACACAATGTAAATATTTGTTTTGTTTTTGTTAACTGATATCAAAAGGGACGGGCTTTAGCACAGTAGGTTAACCACCAGCTTCAGTAAATCTTACCAATCAAAAGGTTGACAGTTCAAAGCCTGGGTTGGGGTAAGCGCCTGGCCTTTAGCCCAGCTTCTGCCTACCTAGCAATTCAAAAGCAAAATGTGAGTAGATAAAATAGGTACCGCTTTAAAGCAGGGAGGTGTTTAAGGCACCAATAAGGAAATGCCAGAAAAATGTCAGTGATCTGATTCAATCAAGGAGGAAGTTTATGAACAAAGCTCTTCAGCAGGGAGATGGGGCGATAGCACCCCCCTTCCCCATGGCCAGAACCGAACACAAGCCTCCAAGATGCCAAAGATGGGAAAAGCCTATATATACTTCTATCTATGTACAGTTGTATGTCTTGTCAGTGTATAAACAGCACTGAATGTTTGCTGTATATGTGTGTTCTGTGATCTGCCCTGAGTCCCCTTCAGGGTAAGAATGGTGGAATATAAATACTGTAAATAAATAAATAAATAAATGATATCAAGCTTTATTTATGGAGACCTTATGAATGAGAGATCTCCAAATCATCCTGCCATCACCAGATCTACTGGAGTGAGGTGAGCCTTATACATTACATATATCCAGTCTTAACTTTATACATTATATAAAATTGGCATTGCCAACATTGTGCTAGACTTATTTACTAGTGCAATGGGACTTTCTTCCCTTCTGCTCCAGTCACAGCCTTGTGTACTGCTGGAAAACTTGCTTTAAAGCAGTGGCCACCAACCTTTGGGCCTCCAGGTGTTTTGGACTTCAACTCCCAGAAATCCCAGCCAGCTTACCAGCTGTTAGGAACTGTGGGAGCTGAAGTCCAAAACACCTGGAGTCCCAAAGGTTGGGAACCACCACTTTAAAAGGTTTGCTAACAATCTTTTGTCAGTTTGAAAGTATTAGTGACTGTGGTGGTGTGGAATGGTACTACAAGACAAGAAGGATCCTACAGGACTAAGCAAGCACACTTTTGATTATACCAGCAGGGCTTCCTCTATGTGCAGAACAATTATATTGTGTTCTGGCTGTAGTAAATATTTCATGAAAGTAAAATACTTATTTTTTTTTCCAATGGCATCATATAACTTGCACCATAGCTAAAAAAAAGAAACCAACTCAAAAGGAATGGTCCCTTTTGGAATTATGTTATTGTTTCACACGGATTTCCCATGCTGAATGAAATCATTTCACAGTACTACCAGATGCAAAAGGCATAGGGATGAGAGAAGAAAAGAGTGGAGAAACAAAAGAGAGAAATATTTTTTGTAAGAAGTCTTTTGATTTTTTTGAAGTATAAATCAGCAGAAAGCACAACAGAATATTATAAGGTTATTGTTGATGTCAGAACTCAGACGCCTTAAAGAGCCAGACTCAAGAGTATGTCCAAAAGCAGAGTTTATGAACACAAAGAAAAAGGGATTCAGAGACACTTACTTCAGTGTCCCTGGTCAAAACTCAAAAGTAGCAACAAGTTTCAGTTCAAAAAGCAAACTGAAGCAATAATCCGGATTATCTGGAGTAAAGATCCAGATTAAACTGAAGTGCTTCAAAAGTCACGCAAAATAACACAACAGGTAAAGGACAAACAAACAAAGAGCCGCAAAGAAGAAGACGTAGTCAAACAAAGTCCGAGATTGAAGAAAGCCAAGTCCAAAGTTGCGAGGTTCCAAAGCCCACATAGGCAGTGTCGTAGTCAAAACTGGTCCAAAGTCAAAGAAGGGGAAATCCGCACTCATGAGAATCCAAGCCGAGTTGTAACACGAATGGAAACAGCAACCTGCAGATCCAGGACCCAAACCCAACACGAAAGAGGAAGCAACAAAACCCAAGGCACAAAACCAATACTTTGCCTTCTGCAAAGATTCTCCATTTCAGTGCCTACTTTTATTTTACACCTCATTATCCAATGATGAGCTGACCTCCGCCCCGCCGTCACCTCTTACAGCTGTTCTTGCCTCCACACCTGAAACCCGACACCCATCCCTCCAACTCTTCAACCTTTTGTCAAGACTTAGATCTCCCCAAGACTCAGCAGTATCTCCCGATTGCCAATCCCCACCACCAGAAAACCCCACAAACGTGTCACTAGACATTGGCTGAGTACMTACAGCTCTAACCTGTTGAACCTTAGTCCAATCCAGTGTGTCTCCCCATCCCCATCACTCCCAGAACCATCACTCCCAGAGAAACCCATGAAAGACTCTTCGTCTGTGGGAGCAGTAAGTATATCTCGGATCTTCTTCCTTTGTYRCTCCTCATCCGATTCCTGCTCTCGAGTCACCCTCTTAAGTTCCCCTATTCACATCCACTGTATCTTCTTCCTCTCCCTCACTCATTGACCCTTCGCTCTCAGAAAACCCTTCAAAGGAGTCTTCGTCGGTAGGTGACATAAGTATMTCCCGGATCCTTTTCCTTTGTTATTCCTCATCTAGCTCTTGCTCACGARCATTCCTTTCCCCCCTTCTGACACCCATACTACCACTTGCAGTGTTACTAACAGGCTCTACTACAACAGTTGATCCTTTCTAGCACAAACTCACAGGTATAGTT